AAAGGTGTCTTATGATTTTTCGATTAAATCATTTTTTCTGGTAGAAAACTTCGTCCGTGTTTTAGTAAAATAATGAAATTGTGAAATTATACGTTTCTTAAGTTTTTTCCCACTTAAGTGCTTTTTTTTTTAAAAAAAATGACTTTTTAAAGTACAATTTAGACAATTTGAGCTTTTAGAAAAGTTACTACACCTAAAAATCGGAGGAAGTTTACTTGGAAAAAACGTGTCTACAGTCTAAAACAAAGAAAGAAAGAAAAAAATTAATATCTTAGTAAAACCAATAACTCCCCTCGCTAGGCTCGGAATCTAAGTAATAATAATAAAATAAATAAATCTTAATAATAATAAAAAATGTTTAATGTTATGTTATTTTGTATCCTAAAAATTCTGTATAATTAATAACAACTTTATATAATCATAGGTAAATTATCCATTGCTACGTATGTCACTTCAATTATAAATAAAATGATAATAACGAACAATTATTATTATTCTACTACAAGATAATTCTATTAAATGCGTATGATCAATAAATTATTATATATTATCCCATATTATCGCCGGAACCCTGAAAAAAATGACCATTTTTTAGCTTCTCTTGTAGTTCCTGAAGTCTTCTCAAATTTTTGATTAAACGCACAGTCGTTGTTTCCTTGGGTGTCGGTGGATTTTCGATATGGTCCAAAAGGCAATTCGATGAATTTGTCTCTGGTTTGTTTATAAAAGCCGCCTGTAAATATGCATAATATATTATAATATAATACAGCGATAACACACCTTGTTTTTGTGGCTCGTTTGTTTAGACGAGTAGATAAATATTCCATGACAAATTACTTACTTGAATACCTATATTACTGATAACATCTCAATAAAAAACATTTAGGTGACAATAGTTATTTTATATTAATAGTTGAACATGGCTACTTAAAAATTTATACATATCTAATAATAAAGATCAGAAAAATTAAATAAATTAATATTTTCTCCAAATGTAAAATATTATTGAAAAAAACAGTAGTAGGTTGGTAGGTATATAATAAAAACAAATTCTTAAGGGTTTTACATGCTACCTGTTTTTGCTTAAAAACAAGTTTACGGAAATGGTCATGCCTCGTAGAGAAGTTGAAAATTGTTTTTCATTTAAAACTTCTTTCAGAGCACATTAAATTTGTGATTTTTAAAATTATATTTATAAATGCTATTGTAGTTTGAATGTGAACAATTTTTGGTATTTTTTTAGTGTTTATAGGTTTATTTACGTTCTACATTATCAAACATTGTAGCTCACTATATACTATAGGGAGTTCTCTTTTTAGTAGAAAAAATATAATTATTATCGTCAGATACGAGGTATGACAGTTTTCCTTGTAAAACATGTTTTGAGCTAAAGTGTAGCACAGACCCCTTAATATAAAAAAATAATTTCAACACTGTTTACTCCATTTGTTAGAATTTGCAATGTCCGTTAATAACTCAATATTTAAGTACAATAACAAAATATAAAAAAAACAAAGAAAGGAAAATTAAATTCACTCAGAATTTCGTCTCCTCCGAGTCAGTATATTCGAACAACAGCAAGTCAATTTTTAATACTGATTTATGCCACACATTAATTAAAGCTGATATTTAACTTACTAAATAAAAAAATCCAACTTTTAAAACTTTTAATTTTTAACATTTTTTTTTATTTTTGAAAAAATACACTAGGCAAGCAATTCCAGATGAGAGTACTGTTCGAAAAAATTACGTTGAAGTTATTTATAACGAAACACGATTTCAAAAATTCGAAATATCATTGGAAGTGGTCCCATTTTGGTTTCAGTTGATGAAATTACAGACGTTAATGGTCGCGATATCGCCAATACCATTATAGAAAAATTGAGTTTCGAACCTTCTAAACCATTTCTTATAAACTATGGAGAACTAAACATTTGCAATCATCAAAAAATTTCAAGATTTTTTTAATGATACGATGGCTTTGTTAAGGCCACAAGGCGTTAACTATGAAAACGTTCTTTTGTTGTTAACGGATGGTGCTCCGTATATGCTGAAAGCTGGAAAAATTCTAAAATTTAATCCAAAAATGTTACATTAGTAACACGGTAGTACACGGTAGTCACCGAATATCTGAAACAGTTAGATTTCAGTTTCCCTTGGAACCAAGGGATCAACATTTATCAATCGTGACTGCAAAAAATTATTTCTAAAAGCTCCAAGTAGAGTATCTACTAAAATTTAAAGAATTATATCCAAATTTGGGTCTTCCACATGAGCCAATCATTAATCGGTGGGTTAGCAGCAGTCGAATATTATTCTGCCAATTTCGAATAAATTAAAGAAGTTATTTTAAATCTTGATTCAGATACTGCAATTGCTATTATACAAGCTACTAATATTATGTAAAATCAAGACCTGAAAAATCATTTAGCAGATATTTCTACACAATTTTGTTTCATGGTTATAGTAATAAACAAATTAGAAATATTAAATCTAACAATAATTGAAAGACTTGCGATAATGGAAAATACAGAAAACAAAGTTCAAGGAGATGTACTCGGTAAAAATGTCGGTTTACGAACAGTTAAAACTATTAGAGATATTCTTTTAAATAAAAATGAAATTATGTCAAATAAATGATATTGAATTAACACCATCTGACAAATTATGTAGTATGCAATATGCCCTATTAACCTCGATCGACGTTGAACAATCCTTCAGCCGCTACAAATCGATTTTGAGACCTAACCGCCTCTTAAAAAATTTCTTTTACAGCCGTACATGAAAATTTGAAAATCTTCAAATGTACGTTGTATCTAATTTTTTCAAAGAAGAAGACAACAATTAATGAAGATTATTAGATGAATAAATATTAATTAAATATTAATGCAAAATACAGATTTTTTTGTTACATATTTCATATTTTTGAATACATATTTCGGCAAAAATAAGAGCATAGATATTTACATATTTCGACTTTTTTATTACACAAAAATCCTCGCCCTAATTATCAACTTACATATCACATGATTCGTATGCCACGATTGAGTCGCGTTTTTCTGCAGTTTATTCGTTTTTCTCTGCTGTACTTTTTTTTGGGGGGGAGGGAGGTTAAGTATTAAAGTTCACATGAAAAAACTTTTCAGTGTATTGTAAGCAGTAGATAAAACTTCTTAGAATAAGTCCTGAATTTCCTGCTTCCCTATACAATAAGTTATTATTAATTTTTCATTGATTACTTCTTTGTACACGTCGATGGCTTCTTTGAGAGCACATGTTAAATCGTTAAGTTCGTCTTCGAGCTGAAGCAAAACTGTTATGAGTTTACTATTTTGAGTCCTCACGTATTGTTCGTAAAGTTTTTGGTATTTCCTACAACACATATTGCCATATAGGTTATTAAATATTTCTGGTATACCTGTACACGTACAGGTATATTAAGTATCCATGTACTTAATACTTATATAAAAGTTATGTAGGTTTCAAAACGCATTAATAAATAAACGAGGGCAATACAAAACACTAATTACAAAAATGAAGTATTTGAAAATGATTTGGTGTTAACTGTAAAGTATTCTTATTCATCATACCCTTCCATAAGTGATACGTCCGATAGTGAGTTTAGTCTATTTTATAGATAAATAATATATATTTATCGTCTTACTTCTTCTTTGCTGAAAACGAATTATTCATTGCTATAGTTGTCATTTTAAGTTCTTCCATGTGTCTTGATTGCTGTTCGTATAACAATATGTTCTTTGATTTCGTAAAAGGGTTTTTATCTGTATTTTTCTTACGACTCCAATGCTGCACGAAAGGAGCCATTACTTTTGAGTAACTGTCCATGGACCGAGTAGGACACTTACAAGATTTTTTTTTGTGACCGCACTAAGAGTAAGAGTATAATAATAGAGTATAATGTAGTAAAAATATTTTAAAAATAATTTTAAAAAACCTATAGATTTTGAATCAATATTTTTATAATAATTATATTGACCTAATATATAGGTGGTGCCAAAATTCGAAAAAAAAAACAATTAAAAATTAAGAAATATTGATATGTTGTGAAATTCCTATAAATTCTATTCGAAGAATAAATCATTTGTTTTTCTAATATTCGACGATTTGTAAAACAATTATTGGGAAAATGAACTGTCACCGACATAGTTTTTAACACTCAAACCTAAAGATAGGCTCGATGGCTTAACATATAAAAATTAATCATTCACTGCGAGAATAGTAATTATTGTAAATTAATTTAGTATTACCCCAAAAACGTCTATATCGTCCGCTTGTTTTACCGCCCACGGATCTGGAATTACACCGTTGCAAGTCTCGTCTTCTTCAATTACTAATTGGTCTTCTGAACGCGCAGGGCACATTTGCATGTCTTTAAACTGCTGCGATATGCTTGTCTCGCTTTCACGCGATCCCATGATAAAGTTATCGGACGAATTCAACGACAAATGCATTTCTTCAATGTTTTTACGGGGAAATTGCTTCGGAAAATTGTATTTTTTTTTTATAAACTAGATGTTAGTTAAATATTTTTTTTTCAAAAGTACAAGCATGTCATGTCTATTTAAAAATTCTGAGCGTACCGAGGAATGTATTGGTTTTGTAGGTACATGATAGGTGATATGTTTTTATTTTTTGATCTGTGAAATAATTTTTGACCAGAAATCCAATCAAAAACTTTATAAGAAGATTCCGGAAGAATATTTGGTCTAGTCGGTGTATCGAGGAGGTTGTTTTCTTAATAATTAGAAAAAAACAGTCGGGGATTGGGAAATATTCACTATTTCTGTTAATTTCTATTTTATTTTTTTTTTATCGATGTTCAGTAAAAATAATCTTTGCAATTTTCAGTATACGTGTAAAAATATTTTGGTGTTTTTCAAGTGGTTATTATGATAGCTATTTAAAATTGTCTTGTTTTGTCGGTTTTATGTTTAAATATGTTGTAATTTATTTTCAAAAAATTTGTCTAAATTATGTTAAAATTGGTTAAAAATTCAGGAATTTGTAATTTACATTACGTATTTTATAATTGTAATTCAATAAAATATTACATTTAAATTAATCATTAACCGAATTTCGCTCAAAATCGTTTTTAATTTACAATGATGTATCGTTGCATACACATATAAAATGAATTACCCTATACATTATAGATATATCGTATCTCGAACAATCCACTTACAACTATGGCCCAACCGGCCACCTACAGTGTGAAGTACCAATGTCCAGATTTGTTGATCTATATTGTCTATAATTTTGGTGATTTTAATCGACATACGTAACGATAATATTATTATAGTTTATAATTATGTTAATATGTTATTATATATACATATCGAAAAACGTACTCTCACTACCGTAATAGATTGAAAACTAAAGATATTTTTAATACACTTAATACATCAGGTTACGACGGATACATTTTTATGATATCAAAATTTTAACTTATTATAACAGTGCTTACCTTAACTATGGACATTGCAGTCTGCATGTTAATCCCTATATGATAACTTTTGTTTGCGGATCCAGCACATATAAATGGATGTTTTGTATCTTTTTCTTTTGTGTTTTTGATGAGAACATTTCCAGAATAAGACTCGTTTAGTTTGGAATTCTAAAATAAACATTTCATTTAATGTAGTTTTTAACACAGTTAAAATGACAGGCATTGCATATTTTTGGAGTTATGGAAGGGAATAAGAGAATGGACTAAAGGAAAAAAAGGCATCCATACAAAGTTGATAACGCACCTATCGTTTTTATTTTCATACGATTTTTATTTAATTATAATATGCATTTGAAACAATTTCGAAATCAGCTTATTAAACCAGCTATTAGGTATTGAAACGATCTTTTGAAAGTAAACTAGGAATACATTTTGTTTTTTCTTACTTTTTTGATCAATTTAACAGACGATTCTGACACTCCATAGTATATCCTTCGTTTTAAAGCACTTTTCTCCAATTTATTGCAACGATCTTAACACGAAAATACGAAACATTAAGTATAAAATGTTTAAGTTTAATATTAAAAGTGTGCATATTATATTTAGTTAACCTGTATAGTAATTGTTCATCGTAATTTCCGAAATATTACACTAAAAAAACAAAGAAATATACTGTTGTAAAACAAAAAAAACGTGTTCGAAATAAAATCCAATTCATTTAATAGTTTTAGTGCTTATTATTACAATAAACAATGTGATGAATCAAAGTGAGTTGCTATAATAACGAAAGCATGTTATTCGGTCGGTTATAAAATTATATCCCACAAAAACCACCGATCAACTAAGTATAAAAACCTCGCTAAAAAAAAAAAAACTTAAGTTAGAAAAATTGTGGTATTAAAAAAGGGCTAAGTAATTTCTTAAATTCGTTAGTATTGAAAAGTAAAGAAATTGTTTATAATTATTTGTATTTGATGAAGTGCGATAATTTTGTTCAAATAATTTAATTTAGCTTGGCGGCTATTAATATTTGCGACTACAAAATAAATATAACATCGACATGAATATCTACATATGGGGATTTAGTTAGTAGTGATGTGCTATAAATCCGAATTCTGGATTTCAAAATTTTTGATTTTGCAAGCAGATTTTCATAATTATTAGAAAAAAATGTAGGAATAAACGAATAAATATTTACGGCGTAACGATTTTATGAATTTACATTATCGTAACTAATGTTAAATAATTGTAGAGACCTGCAAATTTCACGAAATACTTATATTGGCCTTTTGTAGACGTGGTAGAATTTCAGAACATTCTAGTTATTTTTAGACTTTTACAATTATTTAATATTTTTGTGTAAAATTTGTATATGTATTTTTGTTTGGTAGTTATCTGTGATTAAAATTAATATATGCTTAGTAGACATTTTTTGGATTATAAAATCCGAAAATCCGGATTTCTGGTTCAAAAATCCAGGTTTATCCTATTTTCTATCACTAATAGTTCACAGTGTTTTTTTTCGATACAAAAATAGATTTCTTAATTATTTGGACTTTCAATGGTAAATACATCTTTTTATCTATTATTTTGTAAACAATAATCTGGCCATAATAAATATAGAAAGATAATTATCTAATAAAATGAATGATAATAATTTTTTTTTAAACATTTAGATCAAAATATAGTAATATAATATAGTAATATAAAATAGTAAAATATATATGATTATACTTCTTTAACATTGTACATAAACTAAATCTAATAGCTCAACATAATATAAACTATTAATTTAATCAGTTTGTTCCTTCGTATAAATCTGAGGCTCAATGAAAAGATCAAGTATAAACCGTTTACAAGAAATTCAATTCATAATATTAAGAGTTATAAACTTATAAAAAGAATTCCGTTCAACACCCAAAATGATATTTTTACAAAGATTTAAAATTACTTACTCTACCAATTTTTGATAAAATCTCTTATAAAAAATACCATACAAAATTTATTAATCTAATGAAATAAATTATTTCCTTTTCCGTTGTCTTAAATTTCAAGGGTGTCTTTACCTAATTAAATAATTGCAATAACCCTGTAACTGTAAGAAACTTAAATAAATTATAATAAAATAAATAACAATTTCATAAAGTGATACCACTGGATTTCTCTTACTTTTCATACTATTTGAAAATATATGTGCATTATTAATGCCCTCGAAATTTCAGAAAAGGGTCTACATCATATACGTTGGAAGTGTCATAACGTTATCCACGCAGTCGTTTCATGCGTTCGCGTTGTATACCGAGTGGTGNCTATGCAATTTGAAAGTGTGTATAAAATAACTTTTAGATTGTATTTTTATTATTTTCATTAGTTTTCTGTTTAATCATCTTTATCTTTTAATTGGTGATTTTATTATATATATATATTTTTTTTTGTAGCTCGTAAATAGTTTCATATTTTGATGAAAAAAATAAAAGCGTTTAGATTCGAAATAGGTCTAAACTTATTAACTTTGTAGGCAGTGTTGCGAAAACCGTAGAGACAGCATACGCAATGTCCCAATAAAAGTGATTCTTTTAGTTGGCAACGGACCCCGCCTCATCTGGGTCAATACATTATGTTCTCATGTTTAAATCAAATAAATATTATTATTATTATAGTAACTAATAACTGTATTAAATATAAATATCAAAATAAAATGAGCATCAATCATCGAATTCTAAATTGTGGATATTGTCCATCTGTAGTATAAACCTATTACCTATACTGCATATACGGCGGAATCGAAATGGCGATTTTTCACCGAGACTTCGCGAGGTTAGGTTTGGTTAGTATATAGCACAGCTTGGATAAGGTGAACGCTGCCATGACCCTAGAAGCACGGTGATCACAGCGTACTCTGCAGTGGGTATCGAGGTCATCGATTTAAATGGCGATTTATTATTTGAATATCATCAAAGATGGTTTTAATTTACAACCTCAGATAAATAAAGATATATTTATGTGCCTATTGGCTATCTGTAGTATTTACAATTGTAGTGATGTGGGAATAAAACTAATATGATTGTAAGCAAGGTGGATTCACATTGACTATAAGATAATTATATAATGTATGAAGAAGAGTGGCAACCTAGTTTACAATAAAATGTTACAAATATTACCCATACCTTCTCTCGGTTGCTGAAGTTAAAATGAAGTTGATCACTATTCAGTGTTCAGTCTTCTTCACTTTAGCTACTATTGCTGGTCCCGTCGTTCCACGGTTGAGTAGTTTTAATACCTATGAACGAAATATAACCAATTAAAACTTGAAAAAAATTTCAATACAATTATGTGAAGGTACCGGACTGTTAATGCGTACCGATTACTGAAAATCTTGGTAACTAACAGAAATCATCAACTGCGTTCATAATAAGACCATATCGTTTGGCAGTTGAAGAAACACTGAACCCCCCGTAGTGGAGAATATACCGTCCTATGAACTAGCTAAATCGATTTTTATTTTCTGTATCCTACGCGTGCGTCGTGACCGCAGCCGCGCAAGGTAAATAGTACACAATGACAGAGGGGTCGAAAAAAAAAAAAAACCGAACTGAATCACGTTAATTTTACTTATTTTGTTGGTAATTTTACTTATTTTGTTGGACGATATCAAAAAAAAAAAAACCGAACTGAATCACGTTAATTTTACTTATTTTGTTGGACGATATCAAAACTACAGAGAAAAAATAATGTGTAAAATAAAATATTGTTTATTTATGTAATAAAAAATGTTTATTTCGTATATTATTTTTAACAATTTCAAACATTAATTCCATCAGTTAATTGTTTCGAGTTACTTGATTAAAAAGTACCTACTTCATCCCTACTTACAAAACAGTATTGAATCAAAATGTATTAAAAAACCTTATTTGGTGCTTTAAGTAAGAAGTTTTTGGTATATACAGTATATTAATACAACTTACAAATTCATTTGTATCATATAACAAAAATTTTCTTTTTAATAATTTATAAATGATTTTCTGGTTTTTCAATTTAAATATAATCTTAGGAATTATAAACGTTGCCACTGTGCTCCAGGTCTATTTCTGGGCAATATATGCCAGATGAAAAAAAAAATTATAAAATACACACCGTCATTGTTTATTTTATTTTTTAGATTTAACAACTTTGGTCCTTTCGATAGCTCAAAAATGGTTAAAATATTTTGAAAATTTGACCACGTCTAGAAAAGAAAATATTAGTTTTCTGTCTAAATTTTAAATCTTTACGAATATTTTTAACTGAATTACAACAAATAACAAACTTGAATTTCCCGTTTTTCTTACATTTTTCCTCCCTTTTTATTTTTATTGGGAAAACTGCCAGGAAAATTAAAAAATGACATCTGTAAAGTACTATCCCAAAAAAATTTCAGAAAAGGGTCTACATCATATACGTTGGAAGTTTTATAACGTTATCCACGCAGTCGTTTCATGCGTTCGCGTTGTATACCGAGTGGTGACATAATACCTATATTATTATCACCGCTGGCAACGAAGCCATCGTCTGCATTTAAAACATATTGTTATTAATTTATTATATTTGTAAAATATAATTAATTTTACATAGGTGTCGAGTAGTGGAGTGCTCCAACGAATAATCGAAAAAACTATTTGATGATTCGGATCTCAAACTTCCGGGGTTTTAGCTTCCTAAACAAGAATGGTCAAGGCTTAATCGCTTCCAATACGGACAAGGGAGATGCAATCACTTGATGGCTAAATAGAACTTAGAAGATTCGGATCTCTAAGAGATCGATGGTAAGATTCAATCAATGGAGCACCTCATTGATGTATGTATAGTACATTTCTTCCCAGGGGTATGGGAATGTTACACTTACTGGAAAGAGACGCTATCCGATGGTTTTCTGAAGTAAAGAAAGATGTGTGATTTTGATGTTTTTATTTTTGTTTTTACACATAATTAACTGTTAGATATTTTATAAATTTTTTAGTTGTTGTCATTCATTTCTCACATGAAATGTTTATTGTGTTATATTAAATACTTTTACTACTAGGATTAAAACCATACGAATAAATATATAAATATGACAAAATGTTCAGAATTGTACTTTAAATGTTTTGTCTTTCCTCACGGTTATAAGAATTACCTAAATCATGAAAAATAACTTCAAAATATCCTAGTTAAGAATCTATCGATGTATGTGGTTAGTCAGGGTTTTAGGTCTGAAACGCCATATTTTCACCTAACCTAAATGGCCGCTTTCCCTTAGACGGATATCGGACAGTAGATCAATGGAAAAGTCTTAGCATTAAGGCGAACATGGAAATATATATAAACAGTTTTCAAATTTTATAAATTTGAAGAAAATTTGGAAAACTGGGTCTTAGGCCTATGACACCATCTTGTCATGTTACAAATCCTTTTCTTTTCTTCTTTATTCTCCGCTGCTTTTTTCCAGTTTAGGTTTCCATAATTTTCTCCTGTGAATTTTACGAAATCTTTTCTGATATTTACCACCCACCTACCCGACGCCGGACACAATCCCAGAGTATGCTATTTGAATATTGAGGGCATTTCAGGATCAAAATGGGACGTATTTTCAAAAATAACTGAAAAGAACTATAGTGAAGTATTGGCTCTTCAGGAAACACATAAAACTGGTGAAGAGGTTCTCAGAAAAAGAGGATACAAATCAAGTTTCCAAATAGCTCTCCATAGCGGGACTTATGGTGCAGCAATATTCGTGAAACAAGATATCAAATAAGTAGAAGTTTTAAACTCTTTTATCATAGATGATAACAATTATAGTATTGCCATTAAAGTAGGAAACATATATATTGTTAATTTATATAAGCCACCAAGTTCAACGTGGCCGATTTCTCGATTACCCATTCTTAAACATCCATGCCTTTACATTGGCGATTTCAATAGCCATCAATATGAATAAAATGATGCGAATGGAGAGTTTCTACAGCATTGGACTACAAATAATGGTTTTTCGCTGCTGTTTGATGCTAAGGACAAAGGTACTCAGTGTCTCAGCTAGACGGAAGAAAGAATATACATCAGACTAGAGTATCGCCTCAACAGACACGGTAGAAATGTTCTCTAAAATAAAAAGAATAATACTTAGTGATTTCCCGCATAGCCAACATCACCCAGTGGTGGTGAATTGGGTGCTCGAAATTCCAGTTGTTCGAATGATGCAGAAACCATGCTGGAATTTCAATAAAGCAAACTGGGGGAAGTTTGCAAACTACTTGGACCTTTTAATAAAGTGGAATTTACCTGATATTGAAGTATTTGACCGATTCACAAAAGCCATAGTAGTTGCTGCAAAGAAAAATTTACTTAGAGGTTTGAGAAAAGATTACTTAAATCATGAGGTACCAATATTCCACAGTCTACACAATAGATTTATAAACATGAATGCTTTTAACCTGCCCTGAGAAATAGTTGACCTAAGTATTGTTTTTATAGTTTTAAGTATGGAAAACCTTTTTTCACAGCCTACTCAAGTAAAATCTAAACGTATTATTACCTTATATGTACAAAGCATTATAATTTCAAATAAAAAAATCAAAATATTCAAACTTATTTTCGTTTGTTTATTTGGGACTCAATATTATAAATTTCGTATTTCGGGCGTGTAGATTGAATGAGAGCACGCAAGGAAAAATTTGATTAAGTATAAAATGTATTTTCTGCTACGCAGCCACGCAAATAATAACTATAATATAACGAACATGTCAATCGATTATATTGTCACAATTATTTTCTAGCTATCCGAGTGTTCTGATAAAAATTGTTTACATTAAATAGGTATTATAATAATGATAATACTAATAATAATATATTCATTGTTTAGGGCTTACAACTCATTATATTATAAGAATAGGTAAACATAGACAGGTATACATTTAGAATTAATAGGTATATAGTTTTGCTTGAAGGGGCAAATTATAAAACGGATGACAGGCCAGTTCACGTTTATCGAACATAATAGATTGGCAAATAAATCATTACAAAATCAAAAAAAAATAAGTCAAAGTAAAATATTGTTATTGTTTTTATGGTTTTATAAGTGATTTTTTCAAACTTTTCTCTATATTTATATTGAAAGTATTGATAAGTAAGTAGATATGGAACTTAAAAGACCATAGAAAGAATATAATTATAATTTCTAAGAATATTTACGTATTAAGTGTGAACAAATAAAAAATAATTATTATTCTATTTTAAAGATATATAAAACATTAAAACGTGTTCATTTTCTACTGTGTCATACTAAACATTATTATTTATATAATTAGTGTACCTAAAACTATTGATTATAGAATATACTATAGTCAATGCTAATACATAATATTCATGTTATTATACTTAATTAAGAAACACATATTTATGCATTTAAGATACTTCTGTTTACTAGTTTTTATTCTACTTATTATTTATTCGTCTGTTACTTCTATTTAGTGTGTATTTATTTTAAGGGTTATGCAAACGTACCAAACATCTTATGGACATGGTGCATTAACTTTTTTTTATTTCTTGTATGTTCTTCAATGAATTTGAATGCCTGCATGATGTGATCGGGAGGTTGTTCTTGGCGGCTGGTGACTGTTGAAATAATATTTATAAAATTAATCACAAACATTTTTAAAACTACTGTTGTAAATTATTATAAGTTGAATGTATAATTTTTTACGTAAACTAAATGATTATTGTACACACATTGTTTAAATGTCAATTATTCGTAAAGAATGCCATATTATAATTAATTTATTTCGTATTATATTAGTAAAAATTCTCTGTTTGTATAATCTGCGACAACCTAAGTAGGACACTTATCAAAAGTTAATCAAAAATTGTATTTTATCCAAAGACGCAGTGTGGGCAGCTGCATTTCCAGAGAGATCTGTGACCTATTGCATTATATATTTTATTTTATTAACTATGGTGGACTAGATTTAAGAAATTATCCTCGATTAATAGGTTAGTAACTATGGTAATTTCGTAAACGAGTTTATTATCTAACATCATTGTAATCAATACTAATCAATGTGTGTATGCAATTATTATTTTTCATATTATTTATAATTTGTGATGCATGAATTTTATATGTATTTATTTAACAATAATTATAAATATTATTTGGTAACCAATGAGTTTTAGTTGAGTTAAATCAACTAATCACAAGATTACATGTGATAAATATATAATTGTATCAATTTCAAAATTTAGAATAGCTGTTTTGGATCATAATGTTTGAAATGAAAATCTATATTTTAATTACTAGTTTTTATTCTACTTATTATTTACTTTTTGTTCTACTAATATTTTTATTTAATGATTTTCTTTTAAGAGTTACGCTTAATGGTTTAATAATCTTCAGAATATTTTGGAATTTTACGTTTCGAATGATGATACATTTCGGCCCTAATATCCTTAAATCTATGTAACAGATTACCGATATGGCGCATTTGGCACATTATCTCTTCCATTTTTCTTGTATGTTCATCAAAGTATTTGAATTGGTCCATGAACGTTGATCGATAGTCATCGAATGGTTCGAAGTCGGTTTCGAATCTATTTACTAATTCCTCGATAGTTTGTTCTGTTGGCTGCGAGCAGGTAGGTTGTTCTCTTTCCCGCCAGATGGAAGGTTTTTTTCTTGGCTGACGGCTGGCGACTGTTGGAATAATATGTACAAAATTAATCACAAACATTTTTAAAACTACTGTTGTAAACTATTATAAGTTAAATGTATAATTGTTTACGTAAACTGAATGATTATGGTACACACAATGTTTAAATGTCAGCTATTCGTATAGAATGTCATATTATAATTATTTTATTTCGTATTATATTATTAAAAAATCTCTGTTTGTAATATATGCGACAACCTTAGCAGGACACTTATTAAAAGTCAATCAAAAATTGTATTTTATCCATGCGTGTTGTAATTTCTGGGCACGTGTAACAAAAATGGCTTCAATATGTAGGGTTTTCTAGAACCTAGATGTTAGTTTCATAAGCACGTAAAAAAAACGTTTCAATTGATCATAGTGGCAGTAGGGTGAATCCTTTGGTAGACTTAAGGCAGTTAAATGTCATTCCGTTCCCTCCTTAACTTAAATAAATAAATAAATGTTAGATATTTCGGAAATAGGCGTGTCTACGAATGATGCAGCGTGGGCATCTGCATTTCCAGAGAGATCTGTGACCTATTTCATTATATATTTAATTTTATTAACTCTGGTGGACTAGATTTCAGAACGAATTTATTATCTGACACCATTTTAATCAATACTAATCAATTTGTGTATGCAATTAATATTTTTCATATTATCTACAATTTATGGTGCATGGATTTAATATGTATTTATTTAAATCAATGAAATCAATGATTTAAGGTAAATATACATATATATTTTATTTTGAAACTTTGTAAAATCATTAGGTCACAACAGTTAATATTGAAAAAAGAAAAAAATACAAGACATTAGATTACAAAACCAGTTTGATTACTGTATAATATAATAAATAAGATGATAGGTGAAAGCTATGAAGAACGAATTGAATGTGCATTGAAATGGAGATTAAGAGAATTTGTTAAATCTATTCAGTTGATTTATAACTTTATAATTCGAAAATTATACATGTTTGGAATTACGTATAAGTACAAAAATTTGTTTAATACAAAGCTTACCAATGGCATCATAATTTTTCCTTTTCTCTTCGTCATTAATAATTGAGTACACTTGAGTGATTACTTTAAATTTCTCCGTCGCAAACTTTCTTTCTTTTTCGGGGACTTTGTCTGGATGATATTTTAATGCCAACTCCAAATACGCTTTACGAACTAAACGAAACAAGTGTAATGTTTAAATAATTTGCAATACCTAATACAACTAAAATACTGAAAGCCTACTATACCAATACCTTCTTTGGCTGTACTTTTCGGATCCGTTTTTAACACCTTGTATAGATTTTCAGTGCAAAAATGTTGGCGACAACGCTCCAATAAAAGTTTCATGTTTTAGAATAAAAACTGAAAATAAAATTTTAATATTTAAGTTATTAAAAAACAAACCGACATACATCGCATGATGAAGTGAACAGAGGTGGACCACTGTTGTAGGTGAACATTTAAGAAAATAAAGGGGAAATTTAATGTATATCTGCACGCAGTTAATTAACCATTACTAACGAAAAATAATTCTGAGCAGAGTTTGGTTATACATATTTTGAAAATAATATATACAATTTGAAAAAATACAATTCATACTTTTTCCTCATTTATTAGGAAAACTCTTGGAAAATTAAAAATAAAGTCCTCTTTAAATTACCACTTTAGTCCAATTTCCTTTCAGAAAAAGGGCCATACTTGAAAATCATAGCAAAATTTCGGGTAAAAGAGTGGTTTACAGAAAAAAAAAAAAATATATCATTATAATAACAATTTATTCCTCATTTTACTCGGAATCTAAACTATTGAAATTGGAAGTATTCAATATTAAGAACCTAATAGTTTGTAACATGCTCGTTCGGAAAAAAGATGATTCGAGTTATAAGAAATAATTAAAATTATAACACTGAATTTCTATGCAGAAATAAATATAATATTTCAATGAAAAATACAAAATATAAGTCTAAATAACAGATAATATTACAAGTCCGTCTATATTAAATATTCTTTATGTAAATTGACGCGTAGGTGCTGGTATTTAATTGTAATTGACTCGTTTATATTGACGTTGGTTCAGACAGCGTTTTATTATATTATGCTTTTGCCCTTTTTTCCTCTGTCCGTTGTCGCGCTGGGGGATAATCCGACTGTTTTTTCCAATTTAATTAGGTTGAACGAGGGCGCAATGATGCACCGCTCGTTATTGTTGCATATAATCATAATTTTATAACAAAAATGAAAAAATATTATATTATAGAGTATTATTTTAAACTTGATTTATCGCAGTGTCGACTACACAATACATTGAGTTTAAGGTCACTGTTCTAGGTACAGGTTCCAGGTCCGGTTATACCTGCCAAAAGTCTCTCAGGTAAAATTCATTAGATAGAATTTGCTATTGTTATCGCGATTGTACTATATGATTGAAACTATATTCTTTCCCATAGATAGTTAATTTAAATTATGTTCACATAGAACAATAATT